AGTTTGTTTCTTTAAAGAAAAGGGAATCAAGCAAAATTGTTGATAGCAAAGTTACTCTGTGAAGTAAGTTTACTTTTCTGAGTAGTTGTAGTGTTCTTTTAGTTAAGGTTTCTTGTAATGTTTTGGAGTTTCTTGTGCTAGAGGATTGTTTTGTAAAGAAATGTTCTTAAAATTACCAAAAAAGGCAATTTTTAAGAACTGAAGGTTTTACGGGAAAAAGTTTTTTTTTTTTTGAATTTGAAAAAAGTTTTTTTTATTATTATATTATATAAGTTTTATATATTAATTTAATATTAAAATTGACTATAAATATTAATATAGTAACCTATGAGTCTATAGCACAATGGTTAGTGCTCTACAGGTCAGATCACAAAATATTAGTTTAACTTTATATAAAGACATTTAAATAAAATTAATATAGTATCTGATATCATAATCTGCTATGCATTGTTTTTTATATGAAACTAATTTATATATTGATCTAATAGGTATTAATATTGTAATCTTTAAGAAATGTGCTGCAGTATAATGATCATCCAATTGATACTATAATAATTACCAGAAGCTGTTTCATAATAATTGAATTAAATAAAGTTGGATACTTGTTCAATTTTCTAATCAAGACTCCCTGTATATTTGAATGTACAAATTGGGCTTTACTTTATCTTAATCAATTTTGACCATCTGTCTCTTATCTTCTGCTAGCTATCAAAATAAGAAAACCCTGAAACAAATATTGAACTGATACTAACATCTTGTATTATATGGCTTTCTAACAGCTTACCATATATGTATATGTATATATTACATAAAGGCCCCTCTACTACATTAGTTATATAAATGAAAAAGTATAAATATAATAGGTAAACTTATAGAAATAATTAATAACTTTCTGTTTCTGCACAATATTGAACCAGTAGGTTGAATGGTTTAAAACTAGTGATAGAATTTCTATTTCCTAGATAGATCTTCTTGAAAACAATGTAACACATCTCAAGGGTAAATAGCATGTCACCAAGTATAAAAAGTAATTAGATTAGCATTTAGCTATAGTCATAGTATTATAAAAGATACTTGATGTAATCTAAGTTATAAATATATACAATAAAAACCTGCATTTAATACTATTCTACTATAAAAAAAAATAAAAAAAAATAAATATTAATATAGTAATTATAACTTTTATTAATTAATTATTTTATTATTACAAATTCAATATATAAATGATTATTATAAATGATAGATTATAGACTTATTAATATTTTAATTAAAAAAGTCTTGCATTTTATGCTTGTTTGTAATAAAAAAAAACAAACTTGTTAATATTATAAAAATCATATTAGATATAGTATGTTAATATTATTAATAGATCATAAATTAATTAATATTGTAAAAATTATTTCAAGTATAGTTTACCCTCGTTATAACGAACCCCGTTAAACCGGATCCCTCGTTATAGTGGAGCAATATTCTGGAACAATTTCAATTTTTTATTATTACACTATATAACGTTATAGTGGATATTCGTTATAATGGAAGTCTTTTTTCAGCCCAACAGATCCATTATAGCGAGGGTAAACTGTATAGATATTATAAACTGTTAAATTATAAGCTGATACAGTATATACAGTTTACCCTCGCTATAATAACGAATATCCACTATAACGTTATATAGTGTAATAATAAAAAATTAAAATTGTTCCAGAATATTGCTCCACTATAACGAGAGATCCGGTTTAACGGGGTCCGTTATAGCGAGGGTAAATTGTATACATATATATTTAAAATAATAAAAAACTATAATTAAAAAACTTATAATTAGACAAAATGAAATATAATTTCTATTTATTATATTAAAAGTCAAATAATTGCTGCGCCATCTTTAAATAAACTTGTCACATGACAAAATTAATTTAAAAGTTATCAATCGCACATCTCACTTAACCCATAAAATGCCAAACGAGAGTAATCCTAAGAAGAAACACAAAGGAAACAAAGGAATACCCCTTCCGATTTACAAAAATGATGAACCTATCTCAAATTCATCAACATCATTAGGAACCAATATTTTTTCAAGCGACAAAGATTCCAAAAAATTTGTATCTATCGCCACGCAAACAGATGCTCACATTTCAACACCTGAACTCAAGCTGGAAAACAGCTCAAGTAGTGGAGGAATTAATAACACCCAAATGAGAACCGATGCTTATCTTGTTCCACAAATCCCAAGAATTCCAAAAACACTTGAAGAAAAAGAATCAACTCGCAGATTGATAGTAGTACTAGAAAGAGCATGTTTGGAAACCCATAGAGTTGCAAATACGAAACCACCTCAATATCAATTAATTAATTGTGATGATCATCAAAAAACTTTACAAAAATTGGGCAACGTTAACTCCAGAACTTATAGGCCTGACATCACACATCAGGTACTAGCAAAGAAAATTGATCATGTTTTCCGTTAATAAAAATTTGAAATTTAATTATTTGATTTTTTATTAGTGCCTGATGGCGTTGCTGGATAGTCCCTTAAATAAAGCTGGATTAATGCAAGTTTATATTCATACGACTAGCAACGTATTGATTGAAGTTAGTCCTCATGTGCGAATCCCAAGAACATTTAAACGGTTCTCGGGCCTAATGGGTATGTTTCTAGATGGAATAATAGTGACAAGGCACACTTGCTTATTGCTTTTTTTTTTAATTCGATCCATAGTACAACTTATCCATAAACTCAGCATTCGTTCGGTAAATGGAGAGGAAAAATTATTGCGCGTTATAAAAAATCCAGTAACAAATTACTTACCCACAAAATGTGTGAAATTAGGTTCGTGTGTTGAATCGAATGTCTATTTATAATCATGATATTAATTAATTTTTTTTTTTTTTTAGCACTTTCATATGATGCAAAACCAATTCGCCTTTCAAATTATTTACCCACCTTACCTTCAGACCATTCTATTTGCATTGCCGTTGGTGCTATGGCCCACGGAGCAGATAACTTTGCTGACGAATGGGTTGATGAAAAAATTGGTATTTCACAATATCCCTTATCTGCTGCCGTCGCTTGCTCAAAGTTCTGTTGTGAATTGGAATCTTTTTGGGGAATATGGTGAAAAAAACTATAAGATTGTCAATCCACTAATAGTAAAGTAAAAATAAAATAAAATTAATTAAATACTAATAATTGTAATGATAATAATAAATAATAATAAATACAGTCTGTTAAAAAGTCTTTGGATAAATTTTAATTTTTTCTTTTAAAAACCTAATAAATAATTATTGAAATGAATTTATATAATTATTTTTAAGAATATAAAAAACAAAATTATATAAAAACTTTATATACAGTATGGATCAAAAATAATTGGAAAAAATCAAAACTCATATTTTATTCATAATTTAATAAATAATTAAA